TACATAATTATTCCGACTGTCTGGCAGTGATTGAGAGCAGTTGTCAATGCGATTTGTATGTGAACAGGTTGTACTTGTGCATGCTCGCATTTAAGTCAAAATCCACAGCTTACAGTTGTCAACGTTTGGCGGCCCGCTTGCTTTATCCCTTCTATGAAAACCTACTCTGTGTAGGCGTGTATCCCCAGAGGCGGTATCCAGGATGCTGAAGCTCCGCTTGGATCTGTTAGAAGGAAGGACGACCTTAAAAGTGGCTTGAAGAGACCAACTTGTAGAACTGTATGGCGAACCAAAGTCAATGATGGTCTAAATAAAATTCGATGGAATAGTTCATCATTTTAGAAGGCGACATGGTATTCGGAATTGGAGGATCCTGTCGACAATGAATCTGCCATAAAAGTTGAATAAGAAGCTATACGAAGGTAAATCTACTGGGCAATCGGGGTAACCTAACTCCCAAAGGCGTCGAGCTCAGTTATGCTGCGAAGGTGAATTATGAGGAGAGCTGCTAAAATCCTCGACGTCCAGCATACATTCGCATGGACTTTGTGTACCACCGCGACGGCAAACTAGATATAATGTTAGTGAGTAGTAATGTCAGTAGTTCGATCAGATCTTAAATAAGAATCCGGGTCAACTAATTAAGTAAAAAACTTCAAGATGCCATTGAAAATCCCATTTCCTATCCTTCCAGAAGAAATCCAAACAGTTCAGGATTACTCTTCACAAGTCTGTATGCGTCCTACGGCAGCTCAGGTGGGCAGACAAAGTGGATGCTTTGTTGTTGTGTTCATTACATGAGCATCAGTTGAAAATGCTACGGTCGACTCATTCAGCCGCCACTACGTCCCAGCAACGGTCCTGCTCCGAGCCAGCTTATCACCTCGAGCTCGTCTGTCTGACACGCGGAGCCCCTTTCACATGCAATCATGGCAACTGACGGATGCTGTGTCGCCAAGGCGAGGGCTTGAAGATCATGAGACCGGCTTATCGTAAGGGGATGAGTCGAATCCCATCTGCCCCAGTCGAGGAAGAGGCATGGGCGGAGCAGGGAGGTTTGTGGCAGTCCAAAACCCCATTCTGAGAATGGAAGGATAAAGTGTTGATAAACACCGCGTCTTATCAATTAACAAACAGCACGGGCCGATTTTGTCGACGCTCAGACGCACACGTGAGGCTGCACATGTCGACGGAAGGATGACGATTTGGGTGGGGAGGGAGTGGGTGCTAAGGGGTGGAAAAAGAAGAGGATGGGAAGATAACATTGCGACGCTGTTTCCAGGCGGATCCGTCAAATCAGACGCTGGCCGATAAGACTACAGTCGGCCAGAATCCGCAAAGTGGATCGAGTTTACTTTGGGGCCTGTCTTGATCCATTCACACACGAAGGATTTCATAGTCTGCCCAATCCTCTTATCCTCCCAATAAGGCCATATTGGCTGTATAATTCATTGTTGTTGCCAACGTGAATTGGGAAACCTTGAGAAAGCTGTCTCGCGATGCCATGCGTTGCTGGACCAGCCTGATTGCTGGTTTGTTTTTCAACTGTCTTGTCTGTTCGACTGGACATGTGCAGAGTAGAAATAGTACTTTTCTGTCAGAATAATAGCCTTCGCAATGTTTAGTTTACGTGAAGAAAAGTAGGATATAGAGGAATAGTTTTTTTTTAACAATTATCCAGAATGCCTCAATAACCTTAGCTTAACCGGGATTTTGCAATCGGACTGATGAATAAAATAGGAAGATGTTTACTGAATCTTGATTATCCGGTAGTGATGTCAGGTTCTCCGCTCTTTACCCTGAACTCACACTAGAATACCCCAGGTCTGAAGTTTCTACTATATTGCATAACCGGATGGAGGATTGATAGTTGAAGTGCCCACCAAACCCATGAGTGCAAAGAAAAGTTGGAATTCGAGAAATACCTTCTTTCATAATTTCTGTGCTTACTTCCATTTCGAGCGAAAGTGTTTGGTGAAGAGATTCGAAGGTCGATTCCACCAGTAGACCAAGGCGGATTCCTCTTGACGAGCTGTGCATTGGCTTTACTGGAACATTCACTGAGACGCTGTTTCCTAGGTAATCTCCTTCGATTCCGGTAAAAAAGTGCCAGGCTTTCGTCCGTCATATGACGAACATAATCAGAGCAAGATATCATCGTCACAACCAAATTCAAGCTAACGAGTCAAGAAAACTTACCGGCACATCCCTAGAAGGTGGTCTATATACTCTACTCAGATATAAAGTGATTTGGCTAGTTACGGTCATATCTCAACTTCT